CACTACCCTTCTGCTTCTTGGAGATGAGGTGTCAGGTTTAGGAAACTGGGCACTGCTGAGGGCATAGCTGCCAGCACCGTTCTACACAAAGGCTGGCTCCGTTCACCTCACCTGTCACCTCCTGCTGAGTCCCAAGGCGTCAGTCAAGGTAGGTGCATCGGTGCAATGTAAGCAGGGACCACCTTCTCCCCCTGGAAAGACTGGTGGGTGAGCAGTGGAAGCTCGGAACTCTGCACCAGCCCCAAGGCCAATGCCTCCTCTTTTGTCATAGGAGGCACTGGTGACATTTTTGCTCAGCAACTGCTTGGCTCTGGGTCTGCAGACCCACCAGAGAATGCCAGCTTGTTTTTGCTTTTTGAAATCTGCCCTTGGGATTTGGCGGAGTAGCTGGATGTGTGCTGAGTCCATAGTGGTTGACACTGTCACCATTGTTTACCCAGAACCTCGTGTACCAGGCATGGCTCCAGGCATCAAAATACAGCAGCGCATTAAACCTCCCTCCTTGTGGGTCTGTCTGTTTTGGTACCATAAGGGCTCAGCCAGCATCTGAACGTCAGTGAGATAACGCGGCCAGTGAGCTCGGGTCAAGCAAGTTCTCTTCCAGTCACTTTCACTCCATTGTTGCTTTTACGATTCCACAGTCATTAATTTTTTAAACAGTGCTTTGATTCAGGAGCAGAGCCTAATTCTCCCCTGTTTCTCTTGGTGGGAGTGAGTAAAATTGTCCAGCTTGAAATGCGAACACATTTTGTATCTCAAAAGCTGTCTACACGCATCTTGGTGAAGTTTTGGTTTGGGGCGCTGACCACGTTGGGGTCCCCCGGCAGCGCCGCTCCCCTCAGGCCCCTGCCTTCCCTGGATCAGGAGGTGAGGGTGGGTCTCACCGTCCCCACGTCCCTGTCCTCATCACACTCACGTAAATTCTTGAAAATGCTCTCAGTTATTTTTGTTCTCGTGTGCTTCTAATTTTCGCTGTTCCTCTTTTCCTTTTTCTATTTTCCTTTTTCTCTTATACCACCCTGTGAGCATGTTGTTGGGTCTGAAAATGTGGACTCTGCACACCCTGCATTGGAAATAGCCAGATCTCCCTGTGTGCCGTCTCCATCGCTTCAAAAAGCAAAAACTTAACAGTTACCATGATCCATATATTATCCTAGTCATCTTCTTATTTTCTAGTTTTTTGGAATTTTTGCTCTGTTTGCATATTACCCACTGGAGTTTGATACCTGTTAAAGTCCTTGCTTTGAGGAACCTGTTTGTTCCTCCTTATATTTGGTGACAAATG